ATATGTATCAACTTGCCTTTCATATGATTAGTGCTTTAAAAATATTTGTTGAATGAATGAATGAATGAATCACTAGTCCCTGGTAGAATGATAAATACATTACCTCATGAAGAAACACACACACACACACACAAACCAGGTGAAGGATCTTTACAAAGAGAATTATGAAACCCTATGAAAAGAAATAGCAGACGACATTAACAAATGGAAGATCACACCATGCTCTTGGCTGGGAAAAATCAACATTGTCAAAATGTCTATTCTACCCAAAGAAATCTACAGATTCAATGCAATACCCTTTAAAATACCAACATTGTATTTTGAAGAACTAGAAAAAATAGTACTTTGTTTTGTATGAAACAGAATAAACCCCATGTAGCCAAGGCCATTCTTAGTAATAAAAACAAAGCTGGTGGCATCACCACACGGGACTTCAGGCTATAGTACTAGTCCACAGTAATCAAAACAGCATGGTATTGGCACAAAAATAGAGACACAGACATATAGAACAGAATAAAAACCAAGAGATGAAACCAGTTTCTACTTACCATCTGATCTTTGATAAACCAAACAAAAGCATACAGTGGGGAAAAGAATCCCTATTCAACAAATTGTGCTGGGAGAACTAGGTAACCACATGTAAAAGACCGAAACTTGACCCACACCTTTCACCACTCAAAATTGACTTGAGATGGATAAAAGATTTAAATCTAAGACACAAATGATAAAAATCTTAGAAGAAAGTGTGGGGAAAACTCTTGATGATGTTGGACGGAGGAAAGATTTTATGACAAAGACTTCAGGGGACATCGCAACAACCGCAGCAATCGCAATAATCGCAACAAAAATTAACAAATAGGACTTACTTGAACTTCAATGTTTAATGTTACTCAGAGATGACATAGAAATATATATCTCAAAAATAACCAGGAAAAAAAAACCTGAGTAATATCTAAAATAGTTGGTATTACTTGAAAAATTTCTCCTTCTTAGGATGAAAACCCAATTTACAAAACAAGCAATTTCTGTACACACGACGGCTTTTGTTGATCAATCCCGAGATACATGTATTTTTGAGTAACTACACCAGACCTCACCAGTCATCTCTTGCATTACATATAGTGGATTCTAAAAAGGTAGGAACTAACCAATTTCTCCTAACCCCTCTCTTTTCAAATTTCCTAGAAGAATATCTCACTTGAGAAGCACAATGTTTCCAAAGAAAGTCTTTATGAAAAGAATGATGAAAAGGAAGAGGGATCTATGACAATTAGGAATGAAATTTCACTCTCTACCAATCAATTCCTTTTTAATTTGGCAAGCCCTGTGCCATCTGGTCTATTGGTTCTTCTGTGTTTAACGGTCCTCTTGTTAGAAGGCAAATTTGTCTGCCACACAAAGGGATCCAGAGAGTTAACTCAAGTTGTTTTCCTAGAGTTTCTGTGTTTGCTTGACGTGTACCAAGATGCTGGAGGGTGGACAACAGGTCAAACAGGCAACAGAGGAAAGGAAGCAGGTGGTTTGGGGACAAGGGAAATAGCAGCGTCCATGGAATAGCCATCAGGCCTTGGTACCTTGCTACACACACCCTCACTATGAAAAAAACTTCAAACTGATTGCTATAGCCAGAACCAAACGCTACATAAGATGGTTCCAATACTTTATTTACAATGTGCACCTGGCTTTTTCATCCATAAGCTTTTCATTTGGATTTAAAGAGAAACACAAAGACTGGTTTTATTCTTTATTATTTCTAGTCCAGGAAATAAGAAAAGCTTAGGGGAAACCTCTTGTAATAAGATTCCCAACTAAATATTTTAAGAAGATAAGGATATGCAAAGGGAGAGAGACTTCAAATCATGGACTGCAGGTGTTTGGGTCTTAAAAACAGAACACATTTATATTCCTCAAAGTCTAAGGCATGCCCCTCCTAACTACCCAAGGCACACACAATTTCTAGAGTTGTGAGAATGAAATATACATTTAAGTCATAAATGTTTAAAACTGGAGACATGTTTAAATAATGCAAAGGATTTGGTTTATTAAGAATCTCCTGTGAACAGAACATTGTACTAGAAATATGAAAGTAAATACGGAAAAACTGCAGACGGTCCCTGCCCTCAGCGATCTATCCCAACACATTACAAAGAAATTAGGATAACTTACAAAGCGTGACAGAGATTCCTGGCATGCAGAAGGGTGACCTTTCATCACTCAGATATACAATTAATGTTTCAAATTAAAATTTAATAATTCAAAAATACTCTATAGCCCACAGGTTTCCTCTTAAAATGCAGTAAAATATAACTGAAATTGGATCTCTTAATATACTTCTTTTCTAATTCTTGCTACCATGGTCTGAAAATACCTATTGTTTTCACTCAAACGTCCGATTATTACCGTCCTGATTGGCTTCACGTTCCAAACGTCTATATATTTGGTAGACTTTTTCTCTTGTTCTTCAGTTCTATCTCCCACATTAGAAGTCAACTCTCTCCCCTGCCTCCTAAGACCCTAGGGTTTTTGTTGTTGTTGTTGTTGTTTGGGTTTTTTTTTTAAAGCTTTGTTTCAAAAGTGGTACCGGGTATTCAAACTTGGTTAATGAAACAGTAAAGCCACAGTAAAACATAGAAACTGGGCAGATAACAAAGCACTTTCACTAAGTAAATCACAGTTAGAAGTTAGCCTTAGAGCATCTGGGATACAGATGCTTACCTCAGCAAGATTGCAAATTACACTGTATTACGGGGTTTGGGGCCACATTTTGCAGCTGAAAGCATCCACATTTGGCAGGCAGATGCCCACGGGCTACAGCAGAGACTGCAGACTGGAGGCAGCACAGCCAAGTCAAGCCATCGGGTGGGGGGTTGGGGTCTGCACAGTGTTTGTTTTGTTTTTGTTTTAATATTGACTATTTGCTAGGATGTAAATGTCAGCACGATTCACACAAACAGCCAGATTTCAGACTTCGTTTGAAATCGCGGAAGCTCTGTTTGGAGCCACTTCCCATCATGTTCTCCAGTTTGCCCTGGGCCCCCACTCCCAACCTGGCCCAGACTCTGCCTGGGCTCTGCCTCTGGTATGAGCAAGCATCGCAGACCTGGCGTTAAACACTGGTGTGCTAGGTTTCCATGAGTGGTCATTTGGAAAACTGACATATCATGTTGTAGCTTCTAAATGCATTAGACTTGTTCATTAAATAAATTGGTTTTGTTAGATGACTTCAGGCAAATTGGTATTTGGTCAGTTGGTCCTAGAGGGATGTCTGAACATATCCTTTGATGTCTAGATTTACCATCCTTTTCTGTGAGGTTGGAGAGGG